GGTGAATACGTTGTCTGTCGTACGGTAATCTGGTAAAAAGCCAATTTGATATTTGTTTAGTACATTGTTTTCACTGAGGAAATGTACAAGTCTGCTGTTAATGATAATGCAGAGGATTTTCTCAAGGTTGCTGTTGAAACATATCCCACGGTAGTTATTGGGGTCAAATTTGTCTCCGCTTTTGTGGATTGGGGTTATCAGTCCTTGGTTCCAAATATTGGGGAAGATCCACTCACTCACTAAGTAACAGCCTGCTCACTGCCTGACAGTCAGCAGCAGCAGGTCACAGTGAAATATATATATATATATATTAAAAGATAAATGCCATGGCGGCCGCGGTGCAATTTAGAAGTGGCCCAAAAACCCGCCACCCGCGACCAATACATTTTCACCTGCGACATTGTTTTCAAAGTATCCCAATTTCGCACGAAAACTGCAAACATGGCAACACTGATCACTAACCATGATCAAAAAAGGCAATAGTAGCCTAAACATGTAATCCCCCATGAATGATGCAGCGCCTCCCCTGGGCCAGTCGGTGTAATTGAGTAAATTATGGATCTCTATGGAAAGACGCATCATCTACCCAAGTTTCGTCAAAATCGGGCCAGTGGTGTCTGAGATATCGCTTGGGTTAGCTAGACTCATATCCCTGAGCATGTGCACTAAATATCAGCTCTCTGCGTCAAACAGATCAAGATATAAACGTGCCCATTATAGTGCCACCGTGTGGTCGATATGAATGTTTTGCATATGTTGAATCTTGACAGTATTTGCAACATGTGTACCAAATTGTTTTACAATACGAATATCCTTGACCGATTTATACTTTAGGTCAAACAGGGTGAGGGGCGTGACCTTTCAAAGTTTGAAAATGCAAGCTCTTGTTAAAGCGCCACCATCTGGCCAATCAGTGTAATTTAGTAAATGCCGGATCTCTATGGCAAGACGCATAATTCACCTAAGTGTCATCAAAATTGGGCCAGTGCTGGCTGAGATATTGCGTGTGACTAACATAAGAATGAGAACATGCGTACGGACGGAGACAGATTGAACATATATGTGAGGTCTGAAGTAATCTCATTAGCATTATTGCAGAATATCAATGATGAACTGTCTGGAAATTGGTGAGGGTTGAAAATGAGGGGTTGCAAGTGTTTCTTTCATCACATTCCCAGTGGGTCAGAAGTTTACATACACTCAATTAGTATTTGGTAGCATTGCCTTTAAATTGTTTAACTTGGGTCAAACAGTTTGGGTAGCCTTCCACAAGCTTTCCACAATACGTTGGGTGAACTTTGGCCCATTCCTCCTTACAGAGCTGGTGTAACTGAGTCAGGTTTGTAGGCCTCCTTGCTCGCACACGCTTTTTCAATTCTGCCCACACATTTTCTATAGGATTGTGGTCAGGGCTTTGTGATGGCCACTCCAATACCTTGACTTTGTTGTCCTTAAGTCATTTTGCCACAACATGATGCTGCCACCCCTGTGCTTCACGGTTGGGATGGTGTTCTTCGGCTTGCAAGCAAACCCCCTTTTTCCTCCAAACATAACGATGGTCATTATGGCCAAACAGTTGTATTTTTGTTTCATCAGACCAGAGGACATTTCTCCAAAAAGTATGATCTTTGTCCCCATGTGCAGTTGCAAACCGTAGTCTGGCTTTTTTATGGCGACTTTGGAGCAGTGGCTTCTTCCTTGCTGAGCAGCCTTTCAGGTTATGTCGCTATAGGACTCGTTTTACTGTGGATATAGATACTTTTGCACCTGTTTCCTCTAGCATCTTCACAAGGTCCTTTGCTGTTGTTCTGGGATTGATTCACACCAAAGTACGTTCATCTCTAGAAGACAGAGCGGTATGATGGCTGTGTGGTCCCATGGTGTTTATACTTGCGTACTATTGTTTGTACAGATGAACATGGTACCTTCAGGCGTTTGGAAATTGCTCCCAAGGATGAACCAGACTTGTGGAGGTCTACAATTTCTTTTCTGAGGTCTTGGCTGATTTCTTTTGATTTTCCCATGATGACAAGCAAAGAGGCACTGAGGTTGAAGGTAGGCCTTGAAATACATCCACAGGTACACCTTCAATTGACTCAAATGATGTAAATTAGCCTATCAGAAGCTTCTAAAGCCATGACATCATTTCCTGGAATTTTCCAAGCTGTTTAAAGGCACAGTCAACTTAGTGTATGTAAACTTCTGACCCACTGGAATTGTGATATAGTGAATTATAAGTGAAATAATCTGTCTGTAAACAATTGTTGGAAAAATTACTTGTGTCATGCACAAAGTAAATGTCCTAACCGACTTGCCAAAACTATAGTTTGTTAATGAATTAATGAAATGTGTGGAGTGGTTGAAAAACAAGTTTTAATGACTCCAACCTAAGTGTATGTAAACTTCTGATAAGATCTGTTGTCTGTACCATCTCCACTTGTCACAGACAGCTCCACACCACAGACTTCTGCAACAGTGTCAAACACTGACATTTTCACAATGTTGGGGAGCAGTGAACTATATGTAGTTCAACTAGTAATTTAACAACATTTTGCAATAGCTTGGTGGTAGTTAAACTAAATTCAAATATAGGTAGTGTTTCAGTAGTTAATTACTTTTTTTGCGGTGTAGCTAACTACTGGAACTACACGCTACTTTTTTTTCTTCTAAAAATATTATAAAATATGGGTGAAGGAGAATATGGGGGAATTTCCTTTATTTTTCGGCATCAGACCTTCCTAATTATCACTTGAAACATTGTTTTTGTGTTTAATAGGATAAATTACTCATTCTGTTAACATATGACCCCAAAGTGATCTGTTCTTGCAATTTATAGGCTTTTACATTTCAGATTTACATGTGATAATTTATCACAAAGTAGTTTGGATGTAGTGAACTACTTTTTCAAAGTAACTTTAGTTAAGTAAACTATATTTTTTGTAGGTTTAGCTTAAGTGTAGTTTAACTTCTTCCAGTGTGAAGTAATTGGTAGCTATATGTACACTTCCTTTTCACACACATTTGAAAAAAGTGCCTTAAAGACAAAATGCTTGGGGGTTTCCTGATGTCATGGGTATCATTTGACCAAATTAAAATGGTCATACAGTAGACCTAGTATGCATCTATACAGTTCATTCGGAAAGTATTCAGACCCCTTTACTTTTTCCACATTTTGTTATGTTACAGCCTTATTCTAAAATGGATTAAATGATTTTTCCCCCCCTCATCAATCTACACACAATACCCAATAAGGACAAAGCGAAAACTGGTTTAAAGATTATTTTGCTAATTTATTACAAATAAAAAACAGAAATGCCTTATTTACATAAGTATTAAGACCCTTTGCTATGAGACTCGAAAATTTAGCTCAGGTGCATCCTATTTCCATAGATCATCCATGAGATGTTTCTGCAACTTGATTGGAGTCCACCTGTGGTAAATACAATTGATTGGACATGACTTGGAAAGGTACACACCTGTCTATATAAGGTCCCACAGTTGACAGTGCATGTCAGAGCAAAAACCAAGCCATGAGGTCAAAGGAATTGTCCGTAGAGCTCTGAGACAGGATTGTGTCGAGGCACAGATCTGGGGAAGGGCCATGGTCAGTGACGTGACCAAGAACCCGATGGTCACTCTGACAGAGCTCTAGAGTTCCTCTGTGGAGATGGGAGAACCTTCCAGAAGGACAACCATCTCTGCAACACTCCACCAATCAGGCCTTTATGGTAGAGTGGCCAGACGGAAGCCACTCCTCAGTAAAAGGCACATGACAGTCCGCTTGGAGTTTGCCAAAAGGCACCTAAAGACTCTCAGACCATGAGAAACAAGATACTCTGGTCTGATGAAACCAAGATTGAACTCTTTGGCCTGAATGCCAAGCGTCACATCTGGAGGAAACCTGACACCATCCCTATGGTGAAGCATGGTGGTGGCAGCATCATGCTGTGGGGATGTTTTTCAGGGGCAGGGACTGGGAGACTAGTCAGGATCGAGGGAAAGATGAACGGAGCAAAGTACAGAGAGATCCTTGATGAAAACCTGCTCCAAAGCACTCAGGACCTCAGACTGGGGCGAAGGTTCACCTTCCAACAGGACAACGACCCTAAGCACACAGCCAAGACAACACAGGAGTGGTTTTGGGACAAGTTTCTGAATGTCCTTGAGTGGCCCAGCCAGAGCCCAGACACGAACCCGATCGAACATCTCTGGAGAGACCTGAAAATTGCTGTGCAGCGACACTCCCCATCCAACCTAACAGAGCTTGAGAGGATCTGCAGAGAAGAATGAGAGAAACTCCCCAAATACAGGTGTGCCAAGCTTGTAGCGTCATACCCACAAAGACTCAAGGCTGTAATCGCTGCCAAAGGTGCTTCAACAAGGTACTGAGTAAAGGGTCTGAATACTTATGTAAATGTGGATTTTCAGTTTTTTATTTTTCATTAATTTGCAAAAATATATAAAACCTGTTTTTGCTTTGTAATTATGGGGTATTGTGTGTAGATTGATGAGGGGAAAAAACTATTTAATCAATTTTAGAACAAGGCTGTAACGTAACAAAATGTGGAAAAAGTCTGAATACTTTTCCGAAGGCACTGCACATCTCAGTATTGTTTGTTATTAAGGCTTGTGGTGATCGTAATTGTATAGTAATTTTTTATCTATTACAACTAAATAATACAAGAGGGCAACAGAATGTTCAGCTTGTTCGAAGACTGTTAAATGGATGTTGTTTGATGATGGCATGGTTTCAAATAGCTGATGAAATAGGAGGATGATACAGCATGACTCCTACTGCTTCATCCACTTTTTGTGATGATTCATCATCAGCTTTCCGCTGACAGAGGGTTGCTAGAGAGAATCTGCATGCACTGTGGTGGCACTGCATTGAATCTTATCTCCACAGCATCATGTTTACAGTCCCCTTCCTCTCAAAAAGGAAGTGACAAGGCAGCAGAATATAAAGATGATACAGATATATATAATATATAGACTACAGAGGAACCAAGACAAAGACAGGTCAAAAGCCAGACTTTCGAACACATCTCAAATCATCATGAAGACTACCTTCTTGGCTCTTGGGTTATTGCTGCTGACAGTATCCCACTCCTATGCTATCCGTAAGTTCATTAAGTTTTCATAAGGATTGTGCAGAAGTATGTAACCAATGTGTGCTTATATGCCCTCTATAACTTGGCTAGGAGAATCCTTTTATGATTTTGATTATATACCTGTAAGATCTTGTCATACTTATCTTGGGTTGGTTGCCTTATGGCTTATGCTAGGAAATAGTAATCAAAGGATGTTCTAATTGACACATCTTATTCCCCCACAGCTTTTGGACTGGAGTCATCACCTGACAGCTGCTGTTTCAGCTTCTCCGAAAGTAGAGTGCCCTACAAGAAGATCGACTCCATCCAGAAGACTCACAGTGGATGCCCCCTACCAGCATTTGTGTAAGTGTTTGTTCCTCTTACTCTGATGCCACAGTCCAACAGCACAACTGCTTAGTTTGAGGCCCTAGGATTGTCTCAGTTATGGAAGACTAAAGAGCTGGTGACTTTCACTGACTTGCAACAGTCATAAAAGCAATAGAACCCGCCTGATGTTTCTCCTTTGTACCATTATCTCTCTACAACAGGGTCAAAACTGTTGAGGGCAGAGTGATTTGCTTCAAGTCGAGTGTGCCGTGGGTACAGAAAGCCTTCAACCGGGTCAAGCAGTCAGCAGCTGTGGCCAAAGGTAGCGGCATTGGGGGTAGCAGTCATCCTTGATAGCCTCCTCATCATGACTCAAGACTCACAAGACTACTCCATAATCAACATACAAGCAAAGGCAAAGAGTTTTAATGTAGCTCACTGGATGGCACCAAACTTTTGGTTATTATAAATTATTTCTTCATGTTTTACTGTATATGTCCACTTTTTTTACTATGAAAACCTTCTGGACTATTTCTTATAACACGTTTTAAGAGTAAGAGACTGACTGACATGTTTATCACTTAGAATACAGCAATTACTATTTTGCAATATATGGAATTGGGATAGGAGAGTGTTAGGATGTACATGCATGTTTTTGTGTGTGTGAATACTGTATGTGAGAATCCACTGCTTAAATAAAATGAGAGAAAACATTTGACTTAAACATAACCGTCTCATCTTTAATATTAATAATGTACAGTTAGATAGAGAGAACAGATGATAATAAAATGAAGAACCGAATGAAGCTGAAAAGTGTACATATAAAAAACAACTCCTAAAGTTATGACTACCTTTAACAGGGGTTTCTAGGATAAGGGATTGGTTAAAGTACTATTTAGGAAAAGTTTGTTTCAGAACTTAGCTCAACTGAGCCTTTTACTGAGCAGTGTAGGTTGGGTCAAAGGTTTTCTTCTGTTAATTCACAGGGATTTTGAGTTTGTATTCAGTTGTGAAGCATATAACAATTTAGTCATTTCCATTATGAATGTGAACCAGAGAATGAGTACAGAGGTTAGATATTAGATGTGTGTATGTGTCTGTGTCCCTTTTGCATGTCTTCGAGTGCATCTGTTAAGATTCTACAGGTTTGCAAAATCAAGACTAGGCTTATGAACCACTTACTGTAATGATCCTACTGGGTTTAAGAAATCTTAGTTCTCCAACCATACATACATTATATATTAAAATAAAACTTGACGTTTCTCTGAGCGGTAAGGGTTTTGAGGTGCCACACAGTGTGGCTCAGTGTTAAGAGTCTCACCATGCGTTTGGGGCAAACCCATGCATATAGAGCTTTCGGCACATTCTTTAGAACAAGGGACGAGACAGGGAGAGAGGACAAGGGATAGATAGGGCTTTAGGTTTAGGCCTTCCACAAAGTCCATCACTTCACAATATAAAACATCATCATAATCACAGTTATCATTGGTTTTAGACACCCATGCGATTTGTGTAATATCATCTATATAATAGGGACTTCAGTATCCAGATAATGTTGCTATGACTGTCAATGTTCCTGTTACCGTTACATGTGTTATATTAGTAAAAATCGGAGGCATGGTTCTGATTTCATTATCAGGCATTATCTAGGACCTCAAACACATAGTTTACAGTTATACACACACAGGCACACACACAGACACACATTTGAGATAGGTCATCCTCTTTCCTGAACCTGGCTTTTTCATCTTGACTTGGCTTTTCATTGTCATCATTCCACACAATTATTTTCCTGTTTCTTGTACACTCCGACCTGACTCAAACCCTTAATGATCACCTACACCGACCCCCGCACCACCCCCACCCCACCCACCCACCCCGTACACACACTCCCAAGTGTGGTGTTTAACATGCACATGTCCTAGGTGTTCAGGGAATTTCAGAGTGTATGTGATTACGTGTCACAATGGAGTGTGCTTGTGAATGGTCTAAGACTTGAGCTGCCTCTGCTGGAAGAAACAGGTGAGTTCGGTGGCTAGAGCAGCATCTAGAAACCAGTCTGTAGTACACTTCTGTAAAGGATGACTATGCATGGTGCCTGCCATGTGTAAAACTCCAAAGATCAAAGGGACATCATTTCCTCCATGTCAAGAATAGGCATTGACGTTCACATACAAATGCATTCCTCTGTAGCTCAATTGGTAGAGCATGGTGCTTGTAATGCCGGGGTAGTGGGTTCGATCCCCGGGACCACCCATACGTAAAGATGTATGTGCACATGACTGTAAGTCGCTTTGGATAAAAGTATCTGCTAAATGGCATATTATTATATTATTCCCACATAAAAGGTTAAGGTTTTGGCAGAGACCACAAGAGAGCGATGTGGCTGTGTGTGTGTGTGTATGGTGGTGTATGAGTGTGTAATTGGGGTGTGTTGTTGTATGTACTGTATGAGAGTGAGTTAGTGATGTGTGAGGTCCATGTATGACATGTACTGCAAGAGAAACATACTTCTGGAATGTTGGTATGGAATGTCTACAATAGTACAATATGTGTGTATGTGTGTGTGTGTGTAGTGTATGTGGTTTGCAGGTCATAGATCGTGTGAGCATCAAAAGGGATGTAAAAACAAGTTTGTACTATTTAATTGGAGGAATTAAACTCTTAAAAGATCTTTCCTTTCTTTTTGTTCTTTTCCATGGTCCTGTAAAAACAGACAAAGGGAGATTATTTCATATTTCAGCATTGCATTACATTGAGAAAAAGACACCAAACATACTATGTTTGTCTGAGAGAAAAAGAGCAAGGATGAGTAAATATGTCAGCCACTTACTTAGAAGCATCAAGTTTCTGCTGCTCCAGTATACGTTGCTGTGCCTCCCAGTTTGACTTCTCTTCCTCATGGTGGCGCCTCTTCTCCTCCAGTTCCTTATACTGAGCCTCCAAGTTCTTTTTCATCTGCTCGTGGCGTCGCTCCAGCTGAGAAGGGAAGGGTGGCAAATGTGTTACTAGTGAATAAAACAGACTAAGACACAAATACACCCCCACATGGACATACACTCTCTCTACCACTCCTGTCCCAATTGGTTCAAACACACACACACACACACACACACACACACACACACACAACAGTACACACACACACACACACACACACACAACAGTACACACACCTCGGCCTCAGAGTCCTTCAGTTTCTGTTTCTTCTCCTTGACCTTCATCTCGAACACCTGCTCCATCTCAGTCTCCATCTTCTTCATCTTCATGACATGTTCCCTCCGCTCCTCCTCCATCTGGGCCAGGGGGCTCCTACAGGTCAAAGGTGAGGGACAGACACCAAGCATCACTAACAGTGACCAGTGATTCATGAAGCACATCTAATATAGTCTTGTCAACTGTCACTTAACGACAGTATGACAATACCTTAAAGTATCAAACGAAAGGTTCATCTATGAAATAAGCTTTATAGCAAATTAATGATCTTGCTTTTTGTTGTCTTAACATCATTTAGATTATTACTCAGTCTGTCTGAATACTATTCAACATATCAGATCTGTGGTATTTCCTCTGATAATTAATGTATCTCTCTTACCTGGTCATTTGGTTCTTGGTCTTGCTGGTGTCCACTCCTCCATTGCAGGTGACGGCAGCAAGCTTCTTGCTGCGGTAGTTCTCATAGTGGACGTTGTTGGTCACATCCTTCAGATCTTGCATATGGGTCCTACAGGAGGGAATTGGTCATGTTGTCTCAAATAATGATATCACTGTAATTATAATTATATCACTGTACATACTGTAAATACTGTGGTATAATCACTTTGACAATAAAGGATGAATAAAAAGATTGACATGTATCCTGTGTCTCTCACCTGATCAGCATGTTCCGTAAGACAGTAAAGTCACAGTGCTCCCCGTTCTCCACTGAAACAGGAAGAGAGAGAGATGTCAGAGACCCTCGGAGATTCATCTCATCACACGGCCATCCATCATTACTGTGTCTACTGGTAGAATATACACCACTTCCCAGAGTTCCCAATAATAATTGGTGTCTAACGACATTACAAAGGCTCTCGGATCAAAGGGACAATCTCTACTTATGGAGCCAAAAAGCACAGGGTCACTCAGCTAGTCAAGTGTACACTCTAATCACAGCCTATTAGCTGATGAGACAGTTAGGTAGTCAAACACAGACACAGGTAACACACAAATTCATTGGCCAAAAGGAGCCATGCTCAGACAGTCAGACTGTTCACTGAGCAGACACATTATTGTTTAGTTTACACACAGACACAGTCAAACCTATCACTGCTTGCTAAGACAGAGACAGGACATCTCACTGGACCACTGTTCAGACAGACATTCAGTAGTATACATGAGTAGTCAACAACAGTCAGATAGACAAACATGTCACGGACCAGACAGACTACTGCTCTAAGCCATTCATTTCAGCTGATTAGATGGTCATACAGTCTCTCTGCTCAAACAAACACACGGTTAGAAGATCACATGGGATTCTGGAAAAGGACTACAGAGACACCATGCTGCTGCTTAGGATGTGGATTCCTCCTCTTTCCTGATCAAAACATGGCTCCTTTATTATTTACATTTTAGTCATTTAGCAGACGCTCTTATCCAGAGCGACTTACAGTTAGTGAATACATATTTTTTTTATACTGGCCCCCCGTGGGAATTGAACCCACAACCCTGGCGTTGCAAACGCCATGCTCTATCAACTGAGCTACATCCCTGCCGGCCATTCCCTCCCCTACCCTGGGCCAATTGTGCGCCGCCCATGAGTCTCCCGGTCGCGGCCGGCTGCGACAGAGCCTGGATTCGAACCAGGATCTCTAGTGGCACAGTTAGCACTGCGATGCAGTGCCTTAGACCACTGCGCCACTCAGGAGTCTATTATATAGCTCCTCTCCCAAGGCCCCACCTCCTTTAGGGCTAAACCTAATATGCATCCCGCTGTCAGCTGTGGATCTCAGGAGGAGGACACCTTGCCCGTGATGAGATGCATGCATAGAGCCCCGCTTGCCAACCAATCCCCTGATGTCACCTACCTGAGTGACTTCTGACGGAGGGAGGGGAGGCCACACAGGAGCCCAGGTCCTGCCCAGGTGACCCCCATAACCTGTGTCTGTCCACCCTGTCTGTCTACTGAACGAGGGGTTACATGAGGGGGTATGATGGCCGGCAGGGCAGGCCAGCCTCAGTGATGGGACGGGAGTGGAGGAGGGTTGGGTTGAGTTGAGGTCAAAGGGACACAACAAAGCAGGGTTGTAGCTCTAATGGAAAGATACACCCTCGGCCGATTGGCTGAAAACTCCTGATGTATGCTGGACTGAATGGTTGTTGCCTCCTCACTGTTTTCAGTGCTCTGACGTTAAAACAACAACAGAAATATCGCGAGCAAGAGCAAGATTACTGCTCTCGCATCAGGTCAGCTGCCCATCTGGAGTTTTAAGCCAGAGTGCTTTAGCTACTAATGGTTGTTAGGTTATGATACCTGCATGGATGTTTCCATTGAATGAGACAAGAGCAGTGAAAAATGTCTTAGCCCATGCCCAGGTACTTATTGTAAAATGCTCTATGAATTAATATGCAATGTATACTGAACAAAAATATAAACTCAACATGTAAAGTGTTGGTCCCATGTTTCATGAGCTGAAATAAAAGATCCCAGAAATGTTTCATACACACAAAAAGCTTATTTCTCTCAAATGTAATGCACAAATGTGTTTACATCCCTGTTAGTGAGCATTTCTGCTTTGCCAAGATAACCCATCCACCTGACAGGTGGCATATCAAGAAGCTGATTAAACAGCGTGATTATTACATAGGTGCACCTTGTACTGTGGACAATAAAAGGCCACTATAAAATGTGCCGTTTTCTCACACAACACAATGCCACAGATGTCTCAAGTTATCAGGGAGTGTGCAATTGGCATGCTGACTGCAGGAATGTCCACCAGAGCTGTTGCCAGAGAATTTAATGTTAATTTCGCTACCATAAGCCACCTCCAACGTCGTTTTAGAGAATTTGGCAGTACATCCAACCAGCCTCACAACCGCAGACCACGTGTAACCACGACAGCAGAGGACCTTCACATTCGGCTTCTTCACCTGCGGGATCGTCTGAGGAGGGGGAGGGGGGTGCTGAGGAGTATTTCTGTCTGTAATAAAGCACTTTTGTGGGGAAAAAACTCATTCTGATTGGCTGAGCCTGGCCCACCCACTTGGGAGCCAGGCCCACCCATGGCTGCGCCCCTGCCCAGTCGTGAAATCCATAGATTAAGGCCTAATTTATTTATTTCAATTGACTGATTTCCTTCTATGAACTGTAACTCAGTAAAATCTTTGATATTGTTGCATGTTGAGTTTATATTTTTGTTCAGTATAGTAGTGTGATTGACCCCCTGTGGACACAGAGTGCAACTACAGGGAGGGAGTGCCAGCAAACAGAATCACTGTGCAAGGATTTAGAGCAAGAGTGTGCAGCTATATACGTAAGTGAATGTTTGTATGCATGCAAAATATGTATACAGCAAGTTTGTGCAAATGCGCCTTTATCTCTTAACATGTCTATAATTGTATGAGTGTTCATGAGTGGCCAAATGATGACTAAAACAGATAAAGGTGGATCATGCAGTTTTGGAAAAGTTTTTACTTTTAATATTAAGATAATTGGGCACCTATAAACATGAGTTGAGGGTGATGTTGCTTTATTCTAGGAGTAGCGTCAGCACTGAACAGCCTTTAGTTTTCTCCATGACTAGTAAGAGCTCCACTTTGACCATCAACCTAATGACAGCAACATAAAGGCGAAGAGGGGAGGAAGGCCTGAGGGAGAGTAGTAGAAAAAGTGAGAGATGGTTTTGTTTACCAAAAATGCCCTCTGTCAGTCATGGAAAAGAATAGACAGAAAGAAAAAAGAGAAAAGAAAGAATGAAAAAGTGAAAGACTGATAAACGGTCAACCACAGAGCAACACTTGAAAATGAAAGAATAGTCTTTCAGGGGACTTAAACAAAAGAAAATCAAGTGGAGAACAACAACAACAATGATCCATTGTGGCCAATGATGAAAAAACAGGGTGACAGTCTTTCTCTCTGATGTCAGTGGGTGGTACAGTACAGTACAGTGTTTACTGTCGGACGGACCATGATACCCTATTAGATCTCTGTCCCCCTTTTCCAGAATCCCTGTCAGACACACTATCTGGGGGGGGAGGAGGGTGTCCTGGAAGACCATGCAGCTTCCCTACACTGGATCTCCACACTCCTGTGCTCCATCCACAAGCATGGCACAGTGAATGACGTTAATAAAGAGCATTCTTCAGTGCAACCCTCAACAACCCACAGAAAACATAATGCCACTGTCTCATCTCATCTCATCTCAGCCAGAGAACAGAGAACCCAGCCCGGCCCATGCTGAACCTACCTTCTGCCACGCCCCAGGGGTACTGACGACCTCTGACTTTCTTGCCGTTCACTTCGATCACCACGTTGCTGCCAACCACCGCCAGAGGCATCTGCTCCTGCCACACAGGGACAGAGGGACCAGTGACAGTTAATCAGTGAGCCTGTACAGTATCGACAAACTATTAGATAACCAAACTGACAGGGATAAACAAGGGCAGATAGGGACTAGTGTGGACTGAATTGACTGTATCTGTCTCCCGCACTCTCTTTGTACACTACCTTGATCTTACGGATGAGCTTGCTGTCCTCATCGTCCGCTGTGTCAGGAAACTCGTAGATCTTGATCTTGTGTTCTTGGATTTCCTTCATTATCTGAGGATGAGTTGAAGGTAAAAATGAAGTGAGTTATTGCCACACACCGGTACACACAATATTATTGTGATAACACAAATACTTCCTACACACACATCCACAACCACACCTGTTTCTTGAACAGCTGACATTCCTCAGGTGTCAGGGTGTCTGCCTTGGCGATGAGAGGGATCACGTTGACCTTGTCATGGAGACGCTTCATAAACTCAATGTCCAGGGGCTTCAGCCTAAAGGGGCATTCACACAGTTAAAAAATCTGTTCTGAGGCTCTGTTGTTGCACAATCATACAGTTACAGAGTCATCCAGTCAGACAAACACAGGCATGCAGGGAAGGCTGATCTATGCTTTGATGTGACATAGTCCTGAATAATTCTCTGTAGTTATGCGGCATTCACGCCATGTCGGAAACTCGGGACCTCCGAGTTAAAATGAATGCAAGTTATTTGCGTAGAGCTTCCTATTGGTTGATTCTGATACCTCCCAATTGGGAAACTCAGGATCCGACTCTTCCGCCTAGGTTAGCAAGTCGGAAATTTCAGAGTTTCCGACATTACGCGAATGCTATTAGTACACGTTATGCTCAAACTGACGCAGTAGAGGGTCATGGCAAGAAAACACAGTGGGGGAACAAAGGAATCAAAGAAACAGTCACTGACTTATTTATTTTTCTGTCTTTTGTTTTTTACAGTCAGCGACCACTAATAATTATGTCATGGTGGGCTCATGAGGGATTCTCTTTGTTATTCACTCTGTGATGTTCTCACTCTGGCTGGTGAGTGAGTAGCTGGACAAAGAGGCTATTCTTCTCTGTGGCCTGAGAGAGCGAGTTCTGTCCAGGGACCGGAGAGGAGGGGAGGGCTGGAGGGGGCAGAGCAGTAAGGGTAGGTGGGGGGGTGCTGTGTATTCCATGACTGTAGAGATACAGAGCAACAGACCAGCTGGAGTAAGGAGTAGAGGAGGCTTATGAAGTATGGGCAGAGAGACAGAGACAGACCTGACAGAGGTGAAAGGTCATGTTCTGAATTTGTCTCCACATTATCAGGGGCAGGGGGTCAGAGGCAAGGGCTGACATGATCTCTGATCTCTTAATACATCACCCTGTGTGGGTCTAACAACTGACATTTTCTCTTAGAATTTCAGGATCTTATATAATGTCACAACAATGTGTCCCTACTCCTTATGGCTGCATATAATTACAGCAACCATTACAGCAACCATGGTTTGTTAAGAAGTATGAAGTTGGATAGGGTGTGCTATGATACAAATTGTGGGCCTATCTGAGTTGCTATTGGGGCTATCTATTGAGGCGTTTTTCTAGGCTGAAACTAAAGCATCCCATTCCCAGGGATTCTGAGCTCAGGGGCTCCTCAGTGAGCTGCTGCCTCCTGATTGGCTGGCTCAGTGATGGTGAGAGCGCTCCCATCACATCCTCCACAGAGCACGCTCAGTCTAGTGGTGTTATGCAATCTTGTGGGTCACAACGTTGGCAGCCTACATCTCTCTCTCTCGCTTCCCACTCACATATGTGAACTCACGCATACGCCTACACTCCAATCTACTCATACACTCATGTTCACGTTCAGCCTCACATACATAGGCAGGCAGAGATGCATAGATAAAGGCAAAGGCACACGATCAAAAGCATATACACTACTGGTCAAAAGTTTTAGAACACCTACTCATTCCAGGGTTTCTCTTTATTTTTACTATTTTCTACATTGTAGAATAATAGTGAAGACATCAAAACTATGAAATAACACATATGGAATCATAAAGTAACCAAAAAAGTGTTAAACAAATCAAAATATATTTGATATTTTAGATTCTTCAAATAGCCACCCTTTACCTTGATGACAGCTTTGCACATTCTTGGCATTCTCTCAACCAGCTTCATGAGGTAGTCACCTGGAATGCATTTCAATTAACAGGTGTGCCTTCTTAAAAGTTAATTTGTGGAATTTCTTTCCTTCTTAATGCGTTTGAGCCAATCAGTTGTGTTGTGACAAGGTAGGTGTCACGATCGTCATAGGAAGCAGACCAAGGCGCAGCGTGATATGCGTACATCTTTTAATGAGTACTTTATAACAATCACAAAAACGATACGTGAAGTCCTAAGGTTAACAAAACACAAACCTCTCCGGAACAAGATCCCACAAATAACAAGTGCAAAACAGGCTGCCTAAGTATGGTTCCCAATCAGAGACAACAAGCCACAGCTGCCTCTGATTGGGAACCACCCCGGCCAACATAGAAATACATGATCTAGAACCTGACAAAGAAAATTCAACATAGACAATCCACACCCTGGCTCAACATATAAGAGTCCCCAGAGCCAGGGCGTGACAGTACCCCCCCCCCAAAGGCGCGGACTGCGACCGCGCCAACTAAACCCAACAGGGGAGGGGCCGGGTGGGCATTCCGCCTCGGAGGTGGATCCGGCTCCAGGCGTGACCACCACTCTCTCGCTACCCTCCCCGTAGCGCCCCTGGTCTGGTCCCGCTGGCCGGAGCTGGACTGGACACCGGTGGAGCGGATTGCTCAGGCTCCGATGTGGAGCAGCTGACCGGTACCTGACCAGGCACCGGTGGAACAGGCACGGGCTGTGCCGGACTGACGACGCGCACCACTGGCTTGGTGCGGGGAGCAGGAACGGGCCGGACCGGGCTGGCGACGCGCACCACTGGCTTGGTGCGGGGAGCAGGAACGGGCCGGGCCGGGCTGACGACACGCACCACTGGCTTGGTGCGGGGAGCAGGAACGGGCCGGACCGGGCTGACGACGCGCACCACTGGCTTGGTGCGGGGAGCAGGAACGGGCCGGACCGGGCTGGCGACGCGCACCACTGGCTTGGTGCGGGGAGCAGGAACGGGCCGGACCGGGCTGACGAGGCGCACCACTGGCTTGGTGCGGGGCGCAGGAACGGGCCGGACCGGGCTGACGACGCGCACCACTGGCTTGGTGCGGGGAGCAGGATCGGGCCGGACCGGGCTGACGACGCGCACCACTGGCTTGGTGCGAGGGGTAGGAACAGGCCGGGCCGGGCTGGCGACGCGCACCACAGTCTTGGTGCGAGGGGCAGGAACAGGCCGGGCTGGCGACGCGCACCACAGGCTTGGTGCGAGGGGCAGGAACAGGCCGGGCCGGGCTGGCGACGCGCATCACAGGCTTGGTGCGAGGGACAGGAACAGGCCGGACCGTACTGGGAACACACACCACTGGCCTTGTGCGGGGATCAGGAACGGGCCGGACCGGACTGGTAACACACCCCAGTACCTCTCGCCGTGCCTCTACACTCTCCTTCCCCCTCATGACCAATGGCCCCCGTAACCTGGTGGCCTCCTCTCCTAGTCCACAAACTCGCCCTGTAGCTGCCTCCAGCAGCCCTGTCGTCCATGCCGTGTGCCCCCCACAAAATAGTTATTGGGGTTGCCTCTCGCCTGTCCGACGACAGCCCGGTTGGCGCCGCTTCTCCTCTCCTGCCTGGGCATCCTCCCTCATCGCCCTCCGGTAGCGGACGGCCTCCTCCTCGGTGATCTTCCCCCAACCGAGGAGGACATCCACTAGCGTTACCTCCGGCGTTTGCTCCTGGACACGCTGCTTGGTCCTTATTTGGTGGGATCTTCTGTCACGATCGTCATAGGAAGCAGACCAAGGCGCAGCGTGATAGGCGTACATCTTTTAATGAGTACTTTATAACAATCACAAAAACAACAAAACGATACGTGAAGTCCTAAGGTTAACAAAACACAAACCTCTCCGGAACAAGATCCCACAAATAACAAGTGCAAAACAGGCTGCCTAAGTATGGTTACCAATCAGAGACAACAAGCCACAGCTGCCTCTGATTGGGAACCACCCCGGCCAACATAGAAATATATGATCTAGAACCTGACAAAGAAAATTCAACATAGACAATCCACACCCTGGCTCACCATATAAGAGTCCCCAGAGCCAGGGCGTGACAGTAGGGGGGGATATACAGAATATAGCCGTATTTGGTAAAAGACCAAGTCCACATTATGGCAAGAACAGCTCAAATAAGCAAAGAGAAACTACAGCCCCCATTACTTTAAGACATGAAGGTCAGTCGATACAGAACATTTCAAGAACTTTGAAAGTTTCTTCAAGTGCAGTCGCAAAAACCATCAGGCGCTATGATGAAACTGGCTCTCATGAGGACCGCCACAGGAATGGAAGGCCCAGAGTTACCTCTGCTGCAGAGGATAAATTCATTAGAGTTACCAGCCTCAGAAATTGCAGCCCAAATATATGCTTCACAGAGTTCAAGTAACAGACACATCTCAACATCAACTGCTCAGAGGAGACTGCATGAATCAGGCCTTCATGGTCGAATTACTGAAAAGAAACCACTACTAAAGGACACCAATAATAAGAAGAGACTTGCTTGGGCCAAGAAACACAAGCAATGGACATTAGACCGGTGGAAATGTGTCCTTTGGTCTGGAGTCCAAATTTGAGATTTTTGGTTCCAACTGCCGTGTCTTTGTGAGACAGGAGGAGGTGTTATGGTGTGGGGGTGCTTTGCTGGTGACACTGTCTGTGATTTATTTAGAATTCAAGGCACACTTAACCAGCATGGCTACCACAGCATTCTGCAGCGATAAGCCATCCCATCTTGTTTGGGCTTAGAGGGACTATCATTTGTTTTTCAACAGGACAATGACCCAACACAACTCCAGGCTGTGTAAGGACTATTTGACCAAGAAGGAGAGTGATGGAGTGCTGCATCAGATTACCTGGCCTCCACAATAACCCGACCTCAACCAAATTGAGATGGTTTGGGATGAGTCGGACCGCAGAGTGAAGGAAAAGCAGCCAACAAGTGCTAAGCATATGTGGGAACTCCTTCAAGACTGTTGGAAAAGCATTCCAGGTGAAGCTGGTTGAGAGAATGCCAAGAGTGTGCAAAGCTGTCATCAAGGCCAAGGGTGGCTATATCAAGAATCTCAAATATAACATATATTTTGATTTGTTTAACACTTTTTTGGTTACTACATGATTCCATATGTGCTATTTCATAGTTTTGATATCTTCACTATTATTCTACAATGTAGAAAAACCCTTGAATGAGTAGCAGCACAGAGAAGTGGTCCTCTGTAGCTCAGTTGGTAGAGCATGGCTTTGGCGCTTGCAATGCCGGGATAGTGGGATCTATTCCCGGGACCACCCATACGTAAAATGTATGCACGCATGACTGTAAGTTGCTTTGGATAAAAGTGTCTGCTAAATGGCATATATTATGTAGAAGGAATGTTTTTAAATCTATCATTTCTATTATCCATGTGATCCAGTACACATACTGTACAACAAATGTGCTTCAGCTCAAACAAGTATCTTTATGAGACAAGGGAAGTGGATCAGGTGGGTAGCATAGGCATCATACATACTGTACGTTATACGGCATCATTGTAATACTGGTCCATGACAAAGGGTCTGTCCCTACAAGGCCTGTCAGTGTCAGTACTCACCCGTGGCCAGAGGGGGTAATGAAGTACAGGCAGCAGTGAACCCTGTTGTCTGGCATCAGTCTTCGGTTCACCCTGGACTCTGCATTCAGGAAGTCCTCACACTTACTGTCAATGTAGTTAATGACAGGCTGCCAGCTGAGAGGGGGATGATGATTAACGACAGAAAGAGAGAGAAAATAGGAAAATGTTGTTTACTCTACATGTAGACTCTCATTGAGGCAGAGAGCATATCGCACATATTCACACTCCTACACAACATACAAACTACGCCATTCATACATGCTCACAATCACTCCCAATACTCACTATTACTCACCAGTTACTATTATCCACTGCATCTCCAAACCCTGGTGTATCAACGATGGTGAGAGTGAGCTGGACACCCCCTTCCTTCACCAGAACCTTGGACTGCTCCACCTGTAAAACAGCAACACAGTTGCTCTAAAACCGCACACCATAGCTCCCATTTTATCCCTCAGTTCCCCCACACACTATAGTTCATCAATAGCTTTATCATGTTAGTCCCCAGGGGGGTGGTCCTGTGTCAGAATGGCAGCTGGGACACAGTGATATGGTGTTGGTTGATTTCTTTTTACAGTTTAGGAGACTAAACTCTCTTCCTACTGCTGTTAGTCTCAGCTGCTCTCTGTTTGGCTGCATACTTTCATTTCACAAGGGTAGTTATTTTGGGTTGACCCCTTTCAGTCTCTCTAAACACTCAAAAACACATTCTTTGCCTTTGCAGAACTCTTTAGTTTAGATACAGATTTTTTTTCTAGCTGGGCATATATCAAGCACTCAAAACACTTTTGTAAGTGTTTGTGATTGTATGTGTGTGTGTCTGCATATCTGCTTTTAAATCAATTTCAGTGAATGAAAAACAAAGGAAGAAAACCCCAAAAATATGCACCCATCAGTTCAGTGAAATCTGAGTAGACAGAATGTGACCATTTGACAAACATAAGAGATTGTTCTGGAATATAAATACTCTTCCCCTGTCTCTACCCCTCAGCCCACGGCGGCCGCAGCAGACAGCCGCACACAGCCGCACACAGCTCACTGGCCCCAAGTTTACCCCTCCACATTTACACAGTGGCTTTGGCTGACCCAAACAGCTCCATTCCTAAACATTGCACACACTCTTCAATGGAGAATCAAACACATCAGCAGGAACCACAGGGACCCCTGAGACACAACCAGGAATCTCAGGCCTCAACAAATGTGCAAAACAGCGTACTTCTGTCTACATTCAAAAGTGAAGTCAAACATTTGCTCACGAACAAGCACATTTTTTGGAGCAGCTTTATATGACTGTGATTCTAATTTAGGAGATTGTGACTTACCATGCATGGCTCAGGGCCGTGCACAGACCATTCAGGGGGGAGAGGCTCAAAATGAAAAAAGGGCAACAACACACTCACTCATCTCAAATTGTAAGCAAGCTAGTTACAGTGCCCCCTAAAGACATGACTGACATTGGTAATAGAGAGTGGTCTTTCAGCTGATCATTGATGTTTATGTAAATCTGCTAGTTAGCTAGCAAAACATTTTTTTTTACTGAATGTGATTTATTTTCAATGCTCTTAAATAATAACTTCATAATATGTTATTAATAATCTTCTAACTCATGATATATGGCTGGCTGGCTAGTGGCTTGTGTGAACATTTTAGCATATGGTGGTTAGCTAGAGTCTAGACTGCTGCAACTCCCGACTGAAGAAGGGATGGAGTTGAGTCGGAGGGTCGTAGATGCAGCCGCTCCTCTCTCTGTCTTCTGCCTCTCTGCTGCGGCTATCAGCCAGCCAGACCCAATATTGATGATCAAGTGTTATCAAGTGATATGCTGCAGCTGCTGTGGCAGTACTATTGATATTTAAACTAGGTAGCTAACTACACACACACGACCGATGACCGCATCTCAAGCCACGCATGTTTGGATACCGGGCGCGTGCGAGCTCCGTACAGGGCAGACCAACAGGTGCAACCAACCAACGGACAGGGTGGGTAGTGGCGAAGTTGACGACGTCACGACGACTTGCGGGCAATGGGTTCAGAACAACAACAAAATAAATAAAAAGTCACCACCCACAAAGGGCACTTGGCAAGTGGGAGGGCAAAGGGGCAGGTGTTCTGAACAGTTAAACCCCTGTCTGTGCACGTGCCTGCCATGGTTACTAACTCCAACACATCAGTGCTCTCAGTATGAACCCAAATATCAAGCACCACCCCTGTGTGTGTGAGTGAGTGTGTCTTAGTGTGTGTGCCTTTGCATATGCGTCATAAAGACAGGAGGTTATTACAGGATGCCTCAGAGATGGCAGTCTTGTGTTTGGTGGGAAAGTCACCACTGGGTGTTGAGTTTCATGGGAACATTCCTAACCTCTTACTGACCCCTTCAGGTTCCAAGAGGAACCAGCACGCCTGAGTCCAACTTCTCCCCTTCTCCTCCCCCTCCTTGTCCCCATTCTAAACAGAGGCCACACAAACCTCCCCAAACACCCTTAACTAGCCTACATCCCTACCTCCCCTCCCCCTGGTCCTCCAGATGCAGCCTCTTCATCTGTCCATCTCCTGTTTATCAAGGCCATATAAGGCTGCTGGTTCTCTGGGTGCGTTGCCTCTGGCCTGACCACTGTGACCATCCAGTGGCAATTTGGTTTGTTTGCTTAGGCCTGATTGCTGCGTGCTCTCTGGCCTTTGCTTGTGTTGAACTTCCACATGTGGATTGTGGTGGAGATGGGGGATGGTTAGATAGGTGGAGGGGGAGGGTTGAGGCCAGGGGGGAGTTGTAACCAGCTAGAGAGATAATGGAGGGGATTTGGGAGTAGTCCCAACCATGAAGAGAGACAAACATGGATGAGAGGTAGGTCAGGTCAGGGGTGAGAGGTCAAGGAGAGGGGGATGTTGGCTACCTGCACAGTCTTCTTGATCCGTAGGGATGGCCCTGGGTAATCCTTGGAGTACAGGTCAGTCAGGAAGAGGGAGTTGATGAGCGTGGATTTCCCCAATCCAGACTCACCTATGAGAGGAGATAAGGAGATCAGACATCAGTTACATTGTCAATCCATGTAATCCACCAACACCATAGGTAAAATAACATAGGTAAAACCAACATGTTTCAGCATACAGTTAGCTTTCATTTGCCTATGCAAACACCTCAACACACTTACTAACATCATACACACACCCTGTTGTGACACAGTCACAGTCTAAGGTTTGAAGGTAATTTCTGTCCCAAAGAATTGCAGCACAGGATATACAAGGCTGATTCCGTGTCTCACTTGGAAAGGTCAAAAGTGCATCTGCCAGAGAGTAGGCTTGTAGTCCGAGGGAATAAAAAATATCCTCTCTCCCCAATGTTCCTTCACCGTTCTTCCCACCCTGACATTAGAATCATTCAGCATGTTGTCGGTTTGACTATATGGATAAGAGTGTCTGCTAAATGACATGACCTATTAATTTACAGATGATTAAACACACAGTTTCCATCTCCCACTTACAGTGATTAATGAGTGGGCATCTGGCAAACTGTGCTGGGGAGTGACTTTACGGTGCTCTGGGAGGGTTGCCCGGCATGACCACCCCACCAGCAGCTGAGCAACAGCAGCACTACCACCACTGTCCCAGCAGGGGGCACCCCACCGCCTCCCTCTCCACCCATCTCACGTCAACACATAGCCCTTTTTTAATTTTTTTATTAGTCATTTAGCAGACGCTCTTATCCAGAGCGACTTACAGTTAGTGAGTGCATACACTTTTCATACTGGCCCCCCGTGGGAATCGAACCCACAACCCTGGCATTGTAAGCGCCATGCTCTACCAACTGAGCTACACGGGACCAATACATTTTCTTGGGGTTAAGGGGATCACTTACAGGAAATCCTAACAGCACAACAGAAAACAAACTTGAGGGGAGGTTCATGGGGCCATCTCTCTTCCATCAATACTGCCTGATAATGACTAACTGTTTAGATTAGTGGGGTTGTATGTGTTCCTCTCTGCATACAATACTACATTACATTTACAACCAAATCATTTGCCACCCCAAATTATGATGACTGTGTCCCGGATAATTGTCAGGTTGTCCTGAACAGTTGTGAAATCCTCAGATTCCAGTGTTTCTCTTAACTGTCACCCAGACCCTCTGTTTGAGGTGTAGACTCTGGGCGGTTCCTCCACACCAAGACACTGCTCAGCTCATTGCTGACTGACAAACAGCACTACGTTACAGGTTCCCCTGCCTCTTTAAACACACTGTTTAACCAGGAGATAACACAGACACACTAAACACACCCACTGTCTGCTGGGTAAATTCACACATCCCAGCCCCCGGCCCGTGCTGGAGGTGGTCAACATCCCAAACCAGAAGGGGGGTGGGACGTAAGTGCATCTCCTACGTCTCTCTGAGAGGAATGGAGGGGGGCCACAGAGGGTCAGGGGTGTGTAGCTAAAGCAGATCAGACAGAGTGCCTGCAGATGATATGCCCTGGAGCCTGATAGCAGTTACAAAGGCATTCTAATAATAATAATAATACATTCTAATTGAAGCCAGTCACACAGACAGTCACCCTCCCCTCTTCTTGGCCCTGAAATCTGGCATTGTGGATCCTCTGTTTCTCTCTGCCTCTCATGCATACAACATGGATCTACAACACCCAGATATAGAGAGACCCTGTTCTGAGTCTGGGTCCTGGGACTCTGGGACTCTGGGACATTAATCTGCGTTTTGGGTTTAACTAGACACTGGGGGAGGACAGAATTAGGATCAGAGTTCACCGGATTAGAAAAAAAACACAAGATACTTTAAATAACTATCTTGCAGAAACGCAATATCAACTCTATTGGAATCCTGGCATTAAAATGCAGCAAGCAGCTGAAGAGCTTTCAGCTCTGGTCACTGGGCTCCCGAGTGGCGCAGTGGTCTAAGGCACTGCATCTCAGTGCTTGAGGCGTCACTACAGACCTCCTGGTTCGATTCCAGGCTGTATCACAACCGGCCGTGATTGGGAGTCCCATAGGGTGGCGCACAATTGGCCCAGCGTCGTCCGGGTTTGGCTGGTGTAGGCTGTCATTGTAAATAAGTATTTGTTCTTAACTGACTTGCCTAGTTAAATAAATAAACAAATAAAATAGTCTAGAGCCTCCTTGTCAGTTTGAGTGTGACTGCTTGCTGATGTTGGCTATGAAGGGAAATAAATAACCAAACACTGAAACATGGAGAAATAATATATCTATTATCCTTTATAGGCCTATTATTACCACAAAGAACCTGAACCATTTCAGGTTACTCAAGTCACCTTACCTACCATCTATCTAAAAACCAACTCCCACCTCATCTTCCCTCCTGCTGCTGTCCCAGATCAATTAAACCCCCCTGGCCCCTCTCTTCCCAAACAGTCCACCTCAGCTGTATGGAAGTGCCTAATTTAAATGGTGAATTTCCACTCAGGATTTACCACAGTGTTTTATCCAAAAGGCCCAGACTTTTCTGTTTCCATCTCGCGGTCCGGCACCAGTGTCTCTCTGGGCCATGGCTCCGGCAAACCTGCTCTCATTTAGGGCCAAAGCCAGGCCACTGGTACACCTTCTCACAAAGCAACTGTTTTGATTATGCAGAGGTTGTTGATTCTGCTCTTCACAAGTCCTCACTGTCAGCCCTAGCTATGGAAACACAACTTCCCTAGTATAATGTAATGGTGTATACACTAGTGTAACACTGGTGTTACAGTGGAAAAGCAGCAAAAGAGCCACAACAGCCCAGCCACAACACAGGGCACTAACCAAACACCGAATAGAACTGCTCCAAAGAGGATGCAGGCCAAATGACAGCCAATGTCCTCTGCAGTGTACTCCACTTACAAAGGCATCCACATGCTTCCCAGCCGAAACAATTGGGTAGAGTTCGTGCATATACACTGCTCAAAAAAATACACTTAAACAACACAATGTAACTCCAAGTCAATCACACTTCTGTGAAATCAAACTGTCCACTTAGGAAGCAACACTGATTGACAATACATTTCACATGCTGTTGTGCAAATGGAATAGACAACAGGTGGAAATTATAGGCAATTAGCAAGACACCCCCAATAAAGGACTGGTTTTGCAGGTGGTGACCACAGACCACTTCTCAGTTCCTATGCTTCCTGGCTGATGTTTTGGTCACTTTTGAATGCTGGCGGTGCTTTCACTCTAGTGGTAGCATGAGACGGAGTCTACAACCCACACAAGTGGCTCAGGTAGTGCAGCTCATCCAGGATGGCACATCAATGTGAGCTGTGGCAAGAAGGTTTGCTGTGTCTGTCAGCGTAGTGTCCAGAGCATGGAGGCGCTACCAGGAGACAGGCCAGTACATCAGGAGATGTGGAGGAGGCCGTAGGAGGGCAACAACCCAGTAGCAGGACTGCTACCTCCGCCTTTGTGCAAGGAGGAGCAGGAGGAGCACTGCCAGAGCCCTGCAAAATGAACTCCAGCAGGCCACAAATGTGCATGTGTCTGCTCAAACGGTCAGAAACAGACTCCATGAGGGTGGTATGAGGGCCCGACGTCCACAGGTGGGGGTTGTGCTTAAAGCCCAACACCGTGCAGGACGTTTGGCATTTGCCAGAGAACACCAAGATTGGCAAATTCGCCACTGGCGCCCTGTGCTCTTCACAGATGAAAGCAGGTTCACACTGAGCACATGTGACAGACGTGACAGAGTCTGGAGACGCCGTGGAGAACGTTCTGCTGCCTGCAACATCCTCCAGCATGACCGGATTGGCGGTGGGTCAGTCATGGTGTGGGGTGGCATTTCTTTGGGGGGCCGCACAGCCCTCCATGTGCTCGCCAGAGGTAGCCTGACTGCCATTAGGTACCGAGATGAGATCCTCAGACCCCTTGTGAGACCATATGCTGGTGCGGTTGGCCCTGGGTTCCTCCTAATGCAAGACAATGCTAGACCTCATGTGGCTGGAGTGTGTCAGCAGTTCCTGCAAGAAGGCATTGATACTATGGACTGGCCCGCCCGTTCCCCAGACCTGAATCCAATTGAGCACATCTGGGACATCATGTCTCGCTCCATCCACCAACGCCACGTTGCACCACAGACTGTCCAGGAGTTGGCGGATGCTTTAGTCCAGGTCTGGGAGGAGATCCCTCAGGAGACCATCCGCCACCTCATCAGGAGCATGCCCATGCGTTGTAGGGAGGTCATACAGGCACGTGGAGGCCACACACTACTGAGCCTCATTTTGACTTGTTTTAAGGACATTACATCAAAGTTGGATCAGTCTGTAGTGTGGTTTTCCACTTTAATTTTGAGGGTGACTCCAAATCCAGACCTCCATGGGTTGATAAATTTGATTTCCATTGATAATTTTTGTGTGATTTTGTTGTCAGCACATTCAACTATGTAAAGAAAAATGTATTTAATAAGATTATTTCATCCATTCAGATCTAGGATGTGTTATTTTAGTGTTCCCTTTATTTTTTTGAGCAGTGTATTATGGCGACATTTTGTGAAGTTTTTGTTCGTTTTGGACTTCAGTGAGGATTTTTTCAGCTGTTCGGCCACACAACATTTTTTCTGGAGGCAAGCCGAATTTCGGGGCCGAAGTCTACGCCCTTTCGTCTGTGATTGGTCAAAAGTAGGGATTCTTCAATAAAGTCTTTGTTGTCATTGAACGAAGAGATTACTTGTTTTCATGCACATTTTTTCTTTGAAAAATACTGCACCAAACATTTTAGTTAGATGTAAAATTGCGCGACTAAAATCTCCTCGGCAAGAACGTCAAAATTAATGACAGATTTATTGAGTTATCTTAGATTAATTCTGACTATTTTGAGGAAGTGTATACTGGCTATGGCGTCTCAAACAGTACTATTGTGCTTTTTTCTCGTTTTTCAAGCAAACTTATTTTTAGAGAGCATGCGAGCACACTAGTTTGGTTCGCCTAGCCGACTTCGGCTAGCCGCCAGCTGAACTGAAGCATGCTGATGCCTTTAGAACCACTGATATCGGTGTTAACCTAATGTA